GCCCTCAGCAAACCTGGCCAAAGACTCTGGTTTCTTAATGAAAACAGAACCTGGTTTTGTTATAAACAGGGACCTCTCCTGAGGACTCTGCTCCAAAGAGGGATGGAGACTTCCTACTGCATTTAAGGGATATTGACCCCATCTGTTCCTACCTCTAGCCCCTGAGCTCAGCACACAGAGCCCCCGTGTTTCCAGGTGCACCTCTCACGGTCCTCTTTTAGGTCACCTCCCCCTCCAGCTGCCAGGGGTCTGGTTCACCACTTGCAAGACCCAAGGGCAAAGAAAGCATCCCAAATTTATTTCTGGACACATAGCACACTATCATGAAGCAAGAACACAACCTCAGACGTGGGTACAATGACCTGACATGAGGATGTAAGTGTCGTAATGCCAGGTCACAGCATCGCAGAACAATTTTTTTAACCCTACTGTTAAAGACAGTAACAAATGGGGCTGTCTCACCTCCTGCCAACCATTCTTCAGAAGATACTTCTGGTCAGCATTGTTCAGTATAAGGGGTGAAGAGAGGGGGTTGGAAATCTAAGCAATCTTGATAGTGATACATCAACAACAATAATGTATTTAAGGAAGGCAGGCAGCTTTGCGTCAGGACTCCCAGATTCTATACTCAGTTTTGTGGGGGGAGTTTGTTCTGGTGGGCTAGAGTGGAAATTGAGATTTAGGACTCCTGGGTTCCATTGGTAGCCCTGGGAAGGAGTACTCATTTAGTGTTAGAGCAGAGGGGAGAGGGAGTCAGGACTCCTGGATTCTAGAACCACATCAGGGAGGGAGAGTTTGATTTAGTGGGGTTGGAGCAGAAGTCTGGGAGTTAGGACTCCTGGGTTCTGTTTCTGGTTTTGCAGTGGACTTGTGTGATCTTCGACAAGACCCTTCACCCCTCTGTATAGTGGGGATGCTCTAATACCCACCTATTGTATGGGTCTGGGGTGAGGGGTGAAGTTTAGTTAAACCAACCTCATGTAAAGCCCATTGAAAATCTGAGTTGAAGAGGGCTAAAAATGGGCACAGAAGGGAAATTCAAACTGAAGGATTCACCAGCTGTTTATCTCACAATGTTATGTGGGAGAATTTCAGCCCCACACTGGTGACATGGGGCCAGGAGCACTGTAAGCCCCAAAGGTACAAAGACTTGATGTCTGCATGCAGTATGTAGAGCTTTCACCTTCAGATTCTTGTCTTGTAAGCCCTGCACCCTGACAGTGATCTCCAGCATCACTGTTAAATTCTCAGCCATCGCCCATCTGCGTGTTCGCGGCACTGCCATCACACAGTTGGATCCGAGACACAGACACTGTGCGGAAATGGAGAGAGCTGCACAAGCCACTTCCATTCAGTCTATACCTCAGCATTGTACAGCACCTGAATTTCAATAGCCAGCTAAGTATCAAATCTCTGAAAGCTGGAAATTGAGATTCAGGCTTGGTCCCAAGGTAATAAATGAACTCCCACTTCTTTTCCTGTACATCCAGTAAGCCACAGACCGGAGAGTGCAGAGTCCCTGCCCTCAGGGCTGCACAGCCGCTGTGTCCCACGTGTGAGGAGATGGAGCAGTAACACCCCAAAGGAGAAGAACGTGGCAGATTCATTCTTTCAGGGGGTTTCCTGTCTTCCTGTTTCCAAGCCTCTCTTTCACAAGCAAAACCCCAGCCCTCCCAAATGAGGCCCCACCTCCTGCTAAAAGGCCCACAGCACCATAGTGTTATAGGATTTCAGCAGTCACCTCAGGAGGCAGCAACACTGCACTATGCTGCTATGAAGTTTGTGAGTCCTTACATCAAAACTTTGCATCAGTGGAAGGCCAGGGCTCATCACATTGCAGCTCAAGGTCATCACAGATAGATTGAGGCAAAGGTTAAGGCAAAGGTTCCACCGCTTCACATCACCCCCAATTTGAGGAGCCAATTATCATATAAGAAACTGGGACTGTCCCATGAAGATACCCCGAGAAAGCTCTGACACTGTCAGAGGGAGTACTACTAGTTTGTAAATGTACAGTCTGTATGCAAGAGCCAGTGGCTCCCCACAGTCAGTACAACAGCCACCGCAGGGTGAAAGGAGGGTGCTCATCTCTCAGACCGACCCTTAAGGATGGGAATGCAGTAGTCCCTTGCATAGCGGATCCTTCATTTCCTGGCTTCTCTTTTAATTCTATCCATGCTTCTGTGCCCCTTTCTTCCCTGCCGCACACCTTGCATCATAATTTACACCAGTGCAAAGTATTAAGCCAGGACAGCATTTTATATCCACTTTGCACAGGTGCAAGCATGCAAGCCCCTGGAGAATCAGACTCAATATGTCTCCTTCATGCCAGTTCACCCCAGTGTAAAACTCCATTTACTTCTGTGGAATTACACCAGATGTCACTTGGCCCAAATGTGTTCTCTGCTGTAAACAGGACAAAGTGCAGGGAAGATACCTTTGCCTAAAATGGCTCTTCATTTTGGGGGGAAGCGAGGAGGACACCACAGAGGAGAGAAAGACACAGTCAGCGTTAGCCAAGCAAAACTCATCCAAGAAAAGCTACTGTCTTCAAAACTTTAGCAAAGTTCTTGGACTTTTTTTTTTCCTCTCAATTTCTTTTATGGGTCCTGCGGCTGGCTGCCAGCATAACTGAGCTGCTCACGCTGGCTTGTAATTTCTGTAAGTGCCCTGTGATAAAGTGATGAGATTAACTCATCGGAATTCCGGCAGCCTCCCGCTGGCTTGCGGTCACGCTGCCAGCTCAGTCACCACAGACTGGGTGCTCTGGGGAAGGCTAAAAGAACTTGATTCTCTGCGACAGCCAGCGGAGGAGGCTGTGCGTGTCAATGAGCAGCTGCAAGGGTGCGTGTTTGTTCCTGCATGTGAGTCTGTATCTGCATGTGTTTGAATTCGTGGTGAGTGTGTGCGCCCTGTGTGTGTTTAATATTATATGAGCCAGAAGGGAAGAGTAGAAGATGGGTTAACCTAAGCTCCCAAGAAACTGTGTTCTGAAGAGTCTCTCATTACAGGGGCTTTCCTCACTTTAGAACAGTATTTACCTCTGATCCAAACAGATCTGCACATTATTTACATCATAAATTACTTATGAAACTAAAAAGGCAGGAGAGGCAGTGTTGTTTAGTGATTAGAGCAGGACTCTTTGGTTCAGTTCCTCGCTCTGCCATAGACTCGCTAGGGTGGCATGATGCCACTCCTCGGTCCCCTAGAGCATGGGAAGTGGGAAGCAGGATTTCCCATCAGGATTGGTCTCACGTCCATTTCGGATCACAACACTTGTTCTTCCTTTATTCCGTTTCTCATAACATTACAGAAGTTTCCTCTCATTTTCTTTCTTTAATCAGAAATAGCTTCAAAATGGCCTAAATATAAGAGATTACTTTAGCAGACAAATTATTTTGTTCAATCAAAGAGCGACACTTCATATGCAGAATACTGCATCTACACTTTAGCAGCTCTGCATGATCAGGACTGCACAAAGCCATACAGGCTACACTCCCAGATTTCCCAAAATTTGGACAGTTCGGTGGGAAGAAAACTGTACTATTCAACAAGTAACCAAGTCAGATGACACTGTCATTCCAGTTTCCATCAGTGTTTTACTTAGTTACTTTTTATCTCGGGTTCCAGTTTGGTTCCTAAACTTGTTCACTTGGATCACAGAATCATAGAATACCAGGGTTGGAAGGGACCTCAGGAGGTCATCTAGTCCAACCCCCTGCTCAAAGCAGGACCAATCAAGGTTGTCCACCACAAAAAGAACCTGGAAATGATACAGCAGTACCCTGTACCAGTAAAGCTCTCATTCAGCAGTGATCTCTTTCCCAGTAACTCACTCAGATTTACATTAACGCTGATACTATGTGTAAGTAACAGTTTGCAGAGTTGATTCCATGCTAACCCACTGCTTTTACACACGCATCATTTACAGATACATTCCTTGTTTGGATTGAAACTTTATATTCTGCTCCCAGCCCAAGTGCAAATATTTTGTGAAAATATGAGGGAAATCCCTTCAGCCATATTCAAGTGAGGTGAGTGTTTGTGTGTCTGAGGAGAATATACGCTGTGACTATGATTTTCAAAAACAGGAGTCTGAAATTAGGCTCCAAAATTCATATTTCTGTGACCTCTTTTTCAAAACTGGTGAGCACCTTACAGTTCCCAGCTGCCATTTATTTAGGTGTCTAAATATGGATTCAGGAGCCCAACGTTAGAACCTATTTTTGAAAATTTTGGCAAGCACCAAAGTGTGCGTGGGTGTAACCTTTGGGACAATGAGATTTTGAGAAAGCAGATTCTGTGCAATAGCACTTTGGTTAACCAAGAATTTCATTTAACCAGGTCTCATGGCAGGGAAGGGTGAGATTCTAAACACTTATAAGGCATGATGCCATCAAGGGCGTCTGCTGACAGTAGCCACAAATGCCAAGCTTGAGTACCAGCATGTCTCTGCTTTGTTTATATTTTAATGCTATCACAGGATTTTAACAAGTAGAATACATTTTTACTAAAGTCCCAGGGAAGATATGCTTCTGCATGAACTAGTCTGCATGATTCTGCTCCTCAGAAAAAAAGGAAAACCAGGGATATGTCTGAGATGCTGTCTGATTTCAAGGCATCTTCTCATTATGGGTGGAAGGACTGTGATATCAGATATAAATTAGCCAATCACTTCATAGCTGATATTAGTTCATGCAATTTTATTGGTTGTAATGTAAAAGTTGTTCTGAGCTTTCAAAAAAAAAAATCCTATTTCTCAGATATGACCTTGCAGCTGAGAAAGAACATATAAATCTCTGGGGATAAGTTTACAAGAGGGCTAGTATGGGCATACACATGCATGCCACTGCTCTCTACGGGATGGAAGCAGAACTGTGTCTTAAGCCCTATACTGCCAACTGCTAGGGGGAAATTTCCTTTAGCTCAAACACTAGTGGGTTGGATTTTTGGAACAGGAGGATCTGGATTCTATCCTTGCTGCTGCTATGAAATTCCCAGGGGCCTCTCTGAGCAGCAAAGCAACAACCACAGAGACCTAGAAGTCCATGGATTTGTTGCAAGCACTTTGTTACCACTCCTGTGAGGCGGGTGATTAGCATTATCCACATTTGAAGTCTTAAATGGTGTAAACTCCAGCTATTCCCCCTTCCCCCAGAAATTGCGCGTCCTGCTATGTCCTGCCATAGCAGCTACATTCAGCTATTTGTCCTGAGGGTGATGCTTACGGGATCCAAGGCATTCATATGAGTGGGCTGCCCACTCTGGAATTTACTTTCAGAGATATGGCTGATCCAGAACCTGGCCAGGTAAAATGTAATGTAAAATGTTTCTCTTTCTCTGTGTCTTCACTAGCTGTAGGTTCTGGTATCTCTTGTCATTTAGTACACTGGCTAGATTTGGGAGTCGGAGACCCAGTACAAGCTGATTTCGTGGGGAGGGGAATACAACAATTTACATTTATTTTATTGCCTACCCAGAGCCCCAATTTTTTTAATGACTGAAAAAAAATATATCAAAATACTAGCCCAAACTAATAAATTAATAATGGCTAGAGCAGAGCAAAATTTGGAATTTCCATCGTGAGAGCAATTCAGACATTTCAACATTTGCTTTTGTCCCAAATCAGGATGAAAAAGTCAACATTTTTGCAGAATGGAAATTCTGAAAAATTCCAGTTGTGAAATATCAAAACAAAATGTTTCAACATTCGCAAAATCAAAATGTTTCATTTCAGGTTATTGAACTTACCCAAAAGACTTTGAATCTGATCAATAATAAATTGCATATTCTAACACTGGCACACTGCCTCATGCAAGCTGTAGCCTGGGAGCCTAATACCCCCATTCTCCCCTTACGTGCCAGGTTATGTGGCTGGACTACATCTCCCACAGTGCACCCACAGTCATGTTACTCCCATGATGCACCACACTCAGCCAGAGGGAAATCTGCATTGCATTACCGGACATGTAGAGCCCAACTCACATGAGAGGATGGGGGCCTGAACTACAACTCCTATATGGCAATATACTGATTGGGAAGTTCAGTTTAATATTTTGTTACCTCAAATGAAAGATCTCATTTAGATTTTACCCAGTGGAAAAAAAAATCAAAAATTTCAAGAACAAAATTTTCCCACAATTTTGTTTTCGGTGGAAAGTGCATTTTCTGTTGGAAAAATCATTAGCTGGAAAATTCCTGACCAGCTCTCATGATCGCCACATAGCAACCAGTTTGTCCCTCCTATTCCTCCCGAGCCTGAAAGAAATGGACTTTGCAATGTGTTTAGGAGAAGGAAGCAAGCGCCAAAGCTGATGGGCTTTCACAGAAAACACTCTACCAGTCCTTTAAATCAAAGGATCTTCAGCTTGGGCATCTTGTTTGATCACAGCTATGGCAGTATCATATGGGGAGAGAAGATATGACAAGTAATCCAGTCCCAAACCATTTAGGGGTCTGCAGCTTTCAACTCCACTATGAAATCAACAGGGAGTCAGTGCAGCTAGGGAGCATCAGTGACATGTGCTCTCAGCATGAGGCTCCGCTTTGCAATCAGAGGCTACATTCTGCACTTGGTCTCACTGTTCACAGAAATCAGGATGTAGCACCATGCAGAGAACAAACAGCACAGTAGCATGTTGCTACTTTAGCTCCCCATGTAAAGTGTGTAAAGCAGACAGGTTAGAAATGCTTGTAATGAAGTCATTGATTTTGCAGATTTTGGGAAACTAAATCACAGAGAGGTGAAGTGATTTGTCCAAGGCCATAAGGGTGTCAGTGTCAGAACTGAGTACAGAATCTACCTGCAGTATCTGTCTACCTAGAGTCTTATACCACGCACATCACCGTGCTAGCCGCGTCCCCAGTCCCAATTCTGTGCTTGAACTATCAGACAGCACCTCTCTCTGACATCACAGCCACAAAAAAGATGACCTGTGCTAGCAGGCAATGTAATAGGTTAGACCAAAACACACATCACAAATACATCACACGGGTGCACACAGACACACGTGCACATGTATATTAAGAAGCCTGGGTGGTGATTTAAATTCTCTCATTTGTTATCAAATCTAGTGAATGAAATAAACCTGCAGGATGAATAAGGCTTTTGGAAGCCTGTTGGCTGTTGCTACTGATATATAGAGAGCCTCTGTCTCTTCCTTCCTACTGCCCCCTGTCACACTTGAGAGCTCATTCTCCTTTTGCTCAACATGTCCTACAGCAAAGCCTTCTTTGATCCTGCGATCTGCATATTGTCCTAGCTCCCAAGCAGGCCCCGCTTCCTATCTGATCCCCTTGTCTGCTTCTGCCCCTCATCTCCACGATGGAATAAAAGCCTCAGTCTCAACTGCATCAGCCCGAGCTCTGCAGCTCAGATGAGTAAGAGCATTTTTGTGCCCTAACTACCAGACCAGCCAATGGAGAGAGGGACGTGAAGCTGCCTGAGATGGGCTGATGACAGGGTGAGAGAAATCCCCACTTATTCTTTCTCCCCATCTGTTACATGTTACAATTAGGGAACAGCCAACAAGGCTGCTGCACTCAGGGGGTGTCTCTATGCTGTAGGATGAAATCAGCTGACAACTTACACAGGCTGGTGGAGTCTCTGATTACTCTGTCTCTTTCCCCTTCACTTTCTCTCATTCTTTCTAAACTCTCCACAGCTGCTGGTCTTTCCCCATCTCTCCTGATCTATTCTGGCTGGTAGTTTACTAGGGTAAGGTAAAGATTGCCTTCTCTTCTGCTACAGAGATTCCCCAGTGTTGTTCCCCTAGAGAGTTAACCTTTTACTCTCTTTCCAGACAAAGATCCCCTGGTACGCCCTCCCCCCAGAGTCCCTCCTTTAGCGTTGGTTGCCCAAATGTTCAGAACTGTAATACCAAGAATGGATCAACAGAGGGACAACACTCAGTGCTGCTAGGCGAGAGTGGATGTAAAAGTTCATGTTCAACCCATGAAAACTCTGTAATGACAAGCCACAGAAATATTGCATATGAACATCTGGGCGTTCCATAGTGGTACATGTTTTCTATATGGTGTAATGAGAGAGGACAAGCCAGGCAGAGGGAAATGGACCATGTCAGTCTGGGGCAATGGAGAGTGTTAATTTCCAGGGAATGTAACAGTAAGGAGAGATGCCTGGAATCAGGGAGATCAGAGACAGAAATAGTCTATCCACAGAGACCCATGGAGGATTGTTCCTTGCACTGCTCTGTCTAGTCCTGATTCCAGCATCCCCAGCAATGGGGTGTGATCAGGTATGAGGGAACCACTCACTGAGTACAAATAAAACATGTGTACTTCCCACATACATATTTAATTAATTTAATCAGAGTCAAAGGTGTCTTTGGGGTTAATTCAATACACTTTCCATTGCAGGGTGAATGATGCTGTCCATCTTTTCAATTGGAGAGAGGGGGGAATGTATGCACAGTATGTCTATGCATGTGTGCTTATACTAGTGCATGTGTATGAATGGACCTGCAAGTATCTGTGTGTATGGCAGCCTGCCTGTGTGTGTTTATTTGTCTATATTTGCATGGTATATCTGTGTAACTGTATACACATGTGCCGTTGTTGGTATGCGCCACTGGTCTTGCAGGTATGTACAATTCTTCTGTGTACCTTTGTGTGTGTGTGCATGGTATGTAATAGGTGTACATATGTGTGCACATGCAGGTATGCATGCAGGTATATCTGGCCATATGTTTGTGTCTGTGTCCATGCATGCACACATTTGGGGATTGTGGTGCATGCGTTGCTGTTTACGCAGAAATGTCGAGGCTGAAATTTTCAAAACCACTTAAGGAATTTGCAACTGACTGAGACTAAACAGAAATCGGGGTGTCCAACCCCCCGAGGCATCTGAAAATCTCCATCTAAATCTTTAGAACCATGTGCTGTGCTGCTGAGAAGGGAAGGGCATCAGCGTGTCTCCATATCTGCGTACACTATACAGCATCTCCATGAGGCTTACAGTGCTTCAGAACGGATGCAAACAGGATTGACAGGTTTATGTGAAAATCTCTTTTCCTGGAGCACTGTTTTCCCCGCAAGGTGTATGACATTACTAACAAGGCCCCAGCCCTATCCTGATGCCCTCAGCAGGCAGGGATTCTGCTCTCCAGATGAGCCTGTGCCAAACAAATGCCCTCCCAGAGTAAACCCTATCCCCTCTGCCAGCTACAAATCAGTGGGTAACTCCAGGAGTGGGGAGGGGTGCTGTCTCTTCACTGCAAAACTGGAGAACTCCCTGGAATTACATTTCCTGCAGCAACAGTTTGAAAACAGCTTTGCCACATGTGATGATACTGTTGTCAGCTGGGAACCTAGCAAAGCTTCCCAGACTCACAAAGTATAAGGGCTTTGGTTCACATCCAGGGGTGGGAGTGGGGGAGGAGTGGAGGAGGCTTGGCAGAGCTGTGCTGGGGAGCACAGGATAGATTATATGTGTTTTTGTTGTTTTTCCTTCTCTCCTTTAAAGTGCCATAGGAGTACAAGAGCTTCTGCAACCACAGGAACCCAGCCCCCCATGGATGTGTGAGCTCCCTCTCCCACCACACTGTACCTTGAATTGTTCTTTTGAAGAAGGCTTTGCATGCCTCGCAGGAGGCCACGCCATAGTGGTAGCCAGACGCAATGTCCCCGCACACCAGGCACAGCCTCTTGGGGATGGCATTGAGCATGTACTCGCACTTGGTGGGCGAGTCCTCCATGATGGCGCTGGCACAGTCGTCGTAGCGCTTACGGCAGGATCCGCCACCAATCCCTGCACCGTTGAACATGGGTGGCGAGTCCAGGCCGTTCGGGTGGCCACCCATGGCAATGCCGTAGCCACCACTAGCGTCAGAGGAGCCGCTGGGACTATGATGGCTGATGGCATCAATGCCAGAAGATGGGCTGGACGGCTCAGTCTTAATGAAGGATCCGCAGCTAGAGGTGAGATGCCGCTCCTCTGTGGACATTCTGCCAAGCAGCCTGTAGGAAGAGAGCACAGAAACTTATCAGTCCACAGAAATATCAGACAGGGTGCAGTCACCACAAAGTCCATCCCATTCCCACCTTTGGTCCAGTTCAACCCACTCCCTTTGACTTCCTAAAGGACGTCAGTCCAATTTGTTAAGAGCTGCCACCCTACTCTCCACCAACCTGAGCAATGGGTAAGTATCATGGTAATTTTTGTAGGTCACCTTTTCAGACAGTCCCAAATTTCAGTGAACAATCTGTTGAAGCGGCTATGTTGTTAGCAGTGCCAGCTGGTCATAATCTATCCAGAGCAGGAGTTCACTACCATGGAGGACAGGTGAAGATCATGAACTGAGCAGGTCTTTAGTGGTGTCAGGCGAGGTGCAAGATCCCTCAATCAGGGATTCCCGGCCACTGCTCCAGACAAACACAGAGTTTACTAGCAGATTCCATACTAGGACATGAACAAGAGAGGACTCCTTCTGTTTGTAAATTCCCTTGCACTAAAGTAAAATCGGTTATTATGCCCACTGTTTTCTTTTTCACCTTTTTCTTTTTTTCTTAAACACTTGGGAATCCTCTCTAGAAGAGAGGCTTCAGAAGCCGACAGAACAGTTTGTAAAAGCCTCCTCCAACTTCCTCATCTCTCCTCAGTTTAATGACAGGGACTTTTTGCTGAGAGAAAGCTGCACAGGAATTGCCATACAAGATGAGACTAGTGCTCCATCTAGTCCAGGGTCCTGTCTCTTACAGGGGCCAGTACCAGATGCATCAGAGGAGAGTGTGAGAAACCCTGAAGTGGGCATTTCTGGACTAATCTGTCCATTTCCAAAGTTTAGCCCAAACTGTCATCAGTTAGGGATTGCCTTATTCCTTGAAGCAGAAAGGTTTATATTCCTTCCCAACTGTTAAGGGTTTTTTAGAAACAAACAAACAAAACAACCTCATCTATAGTAACTATGGATATTTTCGTTAGCCATACACACATCTGATCTTTTTTTGAATCTCACTAAACTGTTGGCCTCAATGATGTCTTGTGGCAGTGAGTTCCACAGGTTAATTGTGCACTTTGTGAAAAATTATTTCCTTGTATCAGTATCAAATTTGCTGCCTTTCAATTTCACTAAAAGACCCTTTATTCTTGTGTTATGAGAAGGTGAAGAGGAGTGCCCGATCTACCTTCTTTATGTCATTCATTACTTGGTGTACCTTTGTCATTTCCCCACTAATTCATCTCCTCACTATCTTTTCAATCTTTCTTCATACAGAAGTCTTTCCAGGCCTTTCAAAGGTCTCATTAGCCATCTCTGAACCTCCTCCATTTCTGCTATATTTGTTTTTCGAGAGGGTGACCAGAACTGAATTCAATGATCCAGATTCTCAGCTGATGTAAATCAGCATAACTACATTGAAATTAATTCTCCAGCTGAAGGTGTAGCCCAACGTTCTAGGTAAGGATGAATCTCAAATTCATTTACAGACATTATAATATTTTCAGTGTTATTTTTCATCCCATTTATTATACCTTCTACCATTGTTTGGGTTTTTTTAAACCATTGCTACATACTGAGCAGAGACTTTCATTGAGATGTCCACAATGATGCTTAAGTCTTTTTTCTGAGTTATTACAGTTAATTTAGAACCCATTGTTGGGATTCCCTCTGAGACCTTTTCCACTCAACTTATCCAGAATACCTCGTCCAGTTCTGGCAGAACACTTCATTCAGTTCTCTGAGATCCAAAAACTCAGTTCAAGTCCCCTCATCACTTAGGCTTGTACCCTATGCTCACACTGGCCAGGGCCAGACACAGGGGTTTAGAAACAGAGTGATACAACAATTCCAAATCATGTCACACACTACACAATTTATATATATATTTTCCTAGCTACTAACATCCATATTTCTTCATCTGATTGGTTTGGCCATCACGCAAATCGTGTAAGGACCAATTGCTTTATGTCCTTCACCTTATTTACCTTTCAAGCTGATCAGTTCAGGGTGTTCCCACTTATTTCAAATAGCCCCAAAATGCCATCTCCGGCACATAGCCTGTCACTCCCTTGTTTACAGTTTAACCTTACACTCAAAATCAAGCTATGTGCAAGTTTACTCGTGCCCAGCAAGATCTATGCCTACATCCATCAACGTGTATGAAAAATTGAATGATTCCTTCCAACGTACATCATCCTACATTTGTCAATGATTAATTTCATGTGCCATTGTGCTACCCATTTACCCAGCTTTGTTAGGACCCTCTGGAGTTCATCACAGTCTTCTCTGGTCTTGAATAATCTAAATAACTAACTTTGTGTTATCTGCAAATTTTGCCAACTCACTGCTCTCCACATTTAACAACCCAAGTATGAACCTTCGGGCACCCCACTGTTAACCTTCCTTTGCCATGTTGAAAATTAATCAGTTATTCCTACCCTTTGTTTTCTGCCTCTTAGATACTTTTTAATCCATACTAGTACTTAACTTCTCACCCCAGGACTACTGAGTTTCCCCTCTTGTGAAGGAATTTGTCAAATGCTTTTTGAAAATCCAAATAAGTGATAGCAATTGGTTGTCCTGTATGCACTAATTTGTTGACATGCCCAAAGAATTCTAATTGATTGGTGACGCATGATTTTCCTTCGTGGAAGCTCTACTGATTTTTGGTTGCCATGCCCTAATCATCTAGGTATTTTATCATTCTGTTTTTAATTTCAGTCCATGTACCTGGTAAATGTACCACCATCCTGCCGACAGAAGAGCAAACCCATCAGAGATGACAGGACAGAGCTTCTCTCATGTACCAAAATTAGAGTATGCATGAGTAGGTGAGCACTTATTCCAATGTGTATGTGCTGCTACACACTGGAGATGCAGCAGCTTTATGATCCTGTATCCTCATAACCTCATTCTAACCAAGTCTCTCCTAATTTCCCCCCCTCTACTCTCTGTTTAGCCCAGTATGTTTGCTCTTGTACCTCCCCACAACTAGATCTGCCAACAACTCTGTTACCTATTGAGACTTCTGGCCTCAAGAGTGTGGGCAGGCATCTCCCATCCCTGGCCTGATGGGCTCCTCTGCACCAGGGTTACTAAAGAGGAGTCCAACTATTGGTCCCACTCAGAGACGAGATCTGAAAAGTTAAGGACAACCCAAGCTTCACACAGCAGAGGGCTACAATGGACTAAGGTCCACCAACAGTTTGCAAACATGTAGCTGACTGCAGCTGCATTCATCTTTAGTAGAGAGGAGCAGCTACAGCAACCACAGATCTCAGCATGCAAAGCTGCCTGTCTGTTTTGGTCAAAATACAGCTTTTCACGTTGAGACCCACCTCTAGCCTCCATGGCCACATCTCTATATTAAAGACGAAAGCTGTGGTCACACTACTGAAAGCTGCCGGCTTCACTCTATCTGACCACACCGAAGGCGGCATGCGAGCTGATTTTCAGTGGCACTCACACTGCCCGGGTCCTGGCCACCAGTCCGGGGGGCTCTGCATTTTAATTTAATTTTAAATGAAGCTTCTTAAACATTTTAAAAACCTTATTTACTTTATATACAACAATAGTTTGGTTATATATTATAGACTTATAGAAAGAGACCTTCTAAAAACATTAAAATGTATCACTGGCACGCGAAACCTTAAATTAGAGTGAATAAATGAGGACTCGGCACACCACTTCTGAAAGGTGGGTTAGGGTCACAACGGAAGGCAGAGACACCAAAAAACAATGTTGATTGCCTTTTATTGCACAAAGGAGCTCACAGGTGAGAACAGGCTGTGTCACAACACCGGATGGAGGGACTCATGCTGTGCACATAGGCAAGGCCCCCACACTATGTTGGGGATTATGAAAAAGATCAGACTGGGATGTGAGCCACATTCCCAAATTCAAACAGGTGAATTAGAATCTCAGCCTCTTTCTTTTAAGAAGACTGTAATTCACATGCTCAAGGGGAAGGAGAGACAAAGGAAGGCAAAGTTACTGCTGGGGGAATTCTCCACCAAAAAATTTAAAATTCTGCACCAAAAATTTTAAAATTCTGTGCACAATATTTTAAAAGTCTGCAAAATTCTGCATATTTTATTTGTTAAAATAACACAGTATAATCACTCTGGTTTCAATTATTTTGGTAATTTATTTAAATTACAATCCAATGGATGAAGAATGGGAGTGGGGAGCATTGGAGGAAATCCCACAAATCCCCTCCAATAGTAACATAGCTAGTATTGACCCTTTACTTCTAATTATTAGTCAACAAATGTATGCAGCCATATGCTCAGTGTTACATCATAGGAACTGAAGAGCAAGCGATTGGCTACTGACCATCTCCAGAAAGGTCAGTAGCAAACAGTTCATGGAGCACATTTTGATAGGAAATTTTTTCAGTCCAAAAATTTAGACCAGTTCTAATCACTAAAGCACCATAAGTATTTATGAGGCCACACTGTCCTTTACAATAAGGCTCCTTTAGACCACTCTGGCAATGTAAAGGAGCCTTAAAATTTTTACACCAGTTTTATACTCCTGGGGGAATTCACTAAGAATAATGGGAATAATTCACTAACCAGGAAAGCTGCTACATTCTGCTCTGCCTGAGAGGGACATGCCTACCTCCCCAGAAACACCCCAAAGCCCTGCCCCTCCACACCGAGTATGCCGCAATAGCGAGCGAGAGTGACAGAGTATTTCTCTCTCTCAAACGCATGACTGCCCAGACCTCCTGTCCTGGTGGTGATTTGTGTCTCTACTGGCTGCTCCAGGCACCCAAACTGACCTTCCTGCACTGCAGGGAGGGACGTGTGACCGCTTTTGCGGCTTCCCTTTGCTTCTCCGTCAGAAGTCATTTTTCTGCAGGGAAGCAAAGAAATCTGCAGAGGCCATGAATTCTACGCACACGCAGTCACGCAGAATTCCCCCAGGAATACAAATTGGACCCTTCAATGACTTGGGAAAAGGATACTGAAAGCTGATAAATTAAGGGTCTGGGAGAATATAAGCCAAACACAGAAATTAAATACAACCAGGCTAGCATACTCCATGGTCAGGCACCAAACACCCCTAAAGGAAGACAGACAGCATCAAGGGCTAACAAAACAGATGGAGAATACTCAGATATTGTATCTGAGCTGGTAGCTACCCCATCCTGGGAAGAGCACATTCCACATGAATCATTTAGGAAACATACTCACCCTGCTGCAACACACAGTCTAACGGTAACTTTCAAAAATATAAAGGAAACCCCTATTAGAAGGAATAGAGTTGTGACTGTTGGGAGAACAGTACTAGTGTGACTTCCCCCATAATCATTCAAGAAAATCCAGATACACTCTCTCTGGATGAGATTCAGGAACATTTAGAAACATCTTCTACTTTATTTCCATACTGAGTCTTCGTTTATTAAAAATGTCTTTTAAGTGAGGTTTCATCTAGGAACGCCTATGTCTGGGCCAATCGTAACCCAGCCCAGAGGTGACTCTAGTTTGCAGCCACTTCTCAAAATCATAATCCCTGATAGTCAAATGTGTATTTTAAGGACTGACAAACCTGGAGACTGAAGGCCTCTGTTTATCCCCAGCATAGGCAGGCCACAGATAGAGGCAGGGTGAGCTTCCCTACATGCTGACCCATCAATGTGCTGCCTTCTTGTGCTGGAGGAGTGTGAGGGGAGCTCAGTCTCCTTGGCCCAGTTCAGTTCTCTGACTCAGTGCTGAGACCACATAGAGGCCAGATAGTGCTATCTGTGATGGTGGTTTTTGAGATATTGACACCAGTCCTCTAGGATCTAGACGGAGGCCCCCCCAATCCATTTCGCGGGGGACACCGACAAGCCAATATATGGTAATAAGTAATGACTAGTCACTACTGACTAGACCGGAGTAAAAGGCTGCATGTTCCATTGAGGAACAGAACTGGCAATCAGGACATCTTTGTTCATTACTGAGCCTATATTTTTATTTTTTGCTCTATGGAACAATTTGTGCATCCCATCACAGTCCAGGGTTAGCACTGTTCTGGGTCTCCCATGAAGCTGAGCAAAGCCTGACAAATTCTGACCTTCCACGAACACTCCTAACAAAAAATCCCCCTTTTGACCAGGAATGTTTGTTATTTTTAAGCTAACTCAAAGTGATGGCAGCAAAATGCACAAAATGAGTCAAAATTTGGGAAAGTCAACACATCTTGACAGCATTCTGAACAGCAGAAATAATTGCAAAACATTTCCACCTGTCCTGCAAGTTCACAAAGTGAACAGCAGCTATTTGCTTGACTCCGGTTACCTTATTGGGAATGTAAAAGGAGAGAGACTTGATCCAATTCTCCTCCAAGCTGGCACAGGAAGCTCCGTTACTATTTCTGTGCCCATGTAACAAGCTTAGAGGTTCTAAACGTTTCGTTCTTTTCACCTTTCCTAATCATAGGTCATTTCCTCTAATCCCGTTAGCATCTTTGTTGCCCTTCTCTGGATTCTCTCCAATTTGCCTGTCTTTCCTGTAGCGAGGTGTCCAGACTTGCATGCAGAACTTCAAGTGCAATCATGCCAGGGCTTTGTGGAGAGGGACTATCTCTTCCCTGGCCGTGCAGTACAGCATTGGCTTTTCTAGCCGTTGGATCACATTGTAGGTTGCTATCACTTGGTAACCACTAACCCCGTAGTTCTCAACCAGGGGTCCGGAGCCCCATAGGGGGCCTCGAGCAGGTTTCAGGGGGTCCGCCAAGCAGGGCCAGCATTAGACTCGCTGGGGCCCAGGGCAAAAAGCTGAAGCCCCACCGTATGGGGCTGAAGCCCAGGTCCCTGAGCCCCGCCACCCGGGGCTGAAGCTGATGCCTGAGTAATGTAGTTCATGGGGGCCCCTATGGCATGGGGCCTCAGGCAATTGCCCTGCTTGCCCTAACACTGGCCCTGGCTTTTATATGCAGAACAGCAGTTATTGTGGCACAGATTGAACGTGGAGTTTTTATAGCATGTTGGGTGGGGGGCTCAGAAAGAAAAAGGTTGAGAACCTCTGCACTAACCCACCCTGGTCTTTTTGAACATAACAGCTTTAGCCACCTTGCTCCCATTAGCACAGGGGATTCTCCCTGCTGCAAGGGCATCCTCTGTCATTTTCAGCCTCATGTTTCTAATTTCTATCCATTTTACCCAAACCCCTCTAACACAGCTTCCTCACTTGCTTGGTACTTGTTTCCAGGACCTTCCAGCTTGGGGACTATCTGTGAATATAACAACTTATGCCTTTCACATACTCTTCCGGGACCTTTTGAACATTTCAGCCCTAGCATGATCAAGAACTTCTCTCACCCCCCTTTACAGCTTGTCAGCCAGTCTGCGATCCATTTAACAGGATTTGCATCCAAACCAATTTGATCTAATTTCCCTAATAAGATCTTGCATGGCTCCATGTCAAATGTCTGAGTAAAGTCAGACAGTCTATCCACAGTATTGCCTTTGCCCACTAATTATCTAATTGTATCAAGAACAGCTATTGTCTGTTGAACTTGTTTCATAAACCCGTTGTTGTTTATTGCTCATGATGCTGTTAGCCTCTATACCCCCAATCCTGCCCTCAGACTCGCGTGCACAAATCCCATTGACTTTGGATGGAGCTGCACAGGTTTAGATGAGGGCAGAACTGGGCTCTGGAAGCTTACAGATTCCATCTATTAATATTGGTTGCATTATCTTCCTAGGCAGTGATGTTAGGTTAATGGGAGTTAGGAGTTCTCCCAGTTCTCTTCTAGCTTTTCCCCTGCCTTTCATCCTCCCCCTCTTCCCTGAAATGGCTGGATTGCTAATGGCTCAACACACTCTTAAGAGCAATGTTAGGAGCTGGAAAGGCTGCTAGACAGTGCTAGAGAAGGCAAAGTATTCTCTCTATAACATTAAGGTAGTGAATACTGCCCTTTAACACACCCTTAACAGAATTTTTGAGTTCAAAAATAATACCTAAATGGCAAAAACTCAGGATATGTGCAGTTAAAGCTCCCACACCAATTTTTGACATGTTATTCATGGTGATGTCTGTAAGAAGTCACCCTTTTCCCCCACCCCCATTCCCATCCCCGCAATCAAAGCTGTGGAATACCAGACTTCTTCCTGCAAAAGGCCAACATTTTCTAATCTCCAGTAACACACTCTTACTTAGGCCAGTGGAGGATCAGTGGAACGAAGACACATCCCTACCCCCGGCACAAACTCTATGCCAGTGTGAGACAGCTGGCACAATAGCTGGCTTCATGTTAGAGGGGAGCTCCTGTCCACCAGAGGGATTTTCTGTTGGCTACTTTTGGCCAGAATCCAGCTACTCTCTGCTACCTGAGCAGCACAAAGTGGCCGTAGCAGAACCAAGAATCTGGCCCCAACTCTCCGCCTCCTGCCAACAGTACCAAGAAGGCGGGGCTTGGAGGCTACAGGAAACAATTCTGCTCAACTTCTCCAGTGGCTGAGTCTTCACCACATGGACAAATGAACAGTGAGGAGGCAGTGGCATCTCACCACCCAAGCCTAATACTAGACTCCAACTTCCTGTAAGGGAGCAGGACCTGGTTGTTGGAAGTTCTGACCTATAGGCCAGGCCTCTCACCAGGGTCTTGTTCCCAAGTCATGTATAAACTGACCCAAAGTGGTCGAGATTTCCAAGACCAAGATTTAAATCATGGTTAAAAAGGACAAATACTGAACCATTTCCCATAAGAAATTGCAGACATTTCTGGGGGTGGGAGAATTGGTGGAAGGAACATTCTCTCAAGTGTTTCTGAAGTGGGGGTGTCAGAATTGCTACCGACTTGCAGAGTTTTCTCTGTTCTTGATATTCTGGCAGTGCAAAGAGTCAAAAAGGGGCCTTTTCACTGGTTCCCATTATGGGATCTGGATTCTAAACTGTATGAAATCTTGATATTTTAATCCCTAAACTCTGCCATAAAGTTTGTAACCTCTGCAAGCAATATACCAGAAGAGCATCTAACTTCCATGTGCCTATGGCTATGCTGGTGGAATTTACCACTTTTGTAAAGCCTCAAATAGGCCACCACTATAATTCTGTTCAACTCACATGAGATATCAACTTGTGACCCAGCTGAGAAGCACATTTGCAGCAGCGCAGAAATTTTAAGCTCCACCAGCAAAGGCTGCAAAACTTTTAAGCCTCATAAGCACCACCAACTAAACAGAAACTGCACTGAAGTCAGAAGCAAAGTCTGTCCAGGCATATAAATCGGAAATAAACACTTTTTCCAACCTTAATAGAAAGTAAAGAAATTCTCAGGCAAAAACGTGGTTAATATACAGTGATAAAGTTCAGGGTGTTGTGGTTGCTTTTCAAAGCTATGTTAACAGAGTCTAACAGATTTATAACCAAAAAAATCCCACAACATTCGTGAAATTTGCAAATGATGCTAGTCTGGGAGGAGTTGCAAAATGCTCATGAGGACAGAGGAATAATCCAAACAGACCTAGAGAGATTTAACATGAGCAAGAAAAAACAAAATGAGAGTCAGCTTAGAAAAGTGTAGTAATTATACTTGAGAAAAAGTAGTCAGAAACCCAGATGCAAGAATATAATTAATGCCAATCCACTTGGATTTATGGAAAATAGATTCTTTCACACTAACTTGATTTTTTTTATGAGATTACAAATTTGGTTGATAAAGGTAATAGTGATTACATAATATACTTCTGTAAGGGGTTTGACTTGGTGCAACATGACATTTTGATCAAAAATCCAGAACGATATAAAATTAATATGGTACACATGAAATATATTAAAAGATGGCTAACAGGTTTTCAAAACATAATTGTAAATGGGGAATCATATCAAGCAGATATGTTTCCAGTGGGACCCCACAGGGATCACTTCTTGGCTCTATGCTATTTAACATTTTTATCAATGACCTGAAGGAGAACCTAAAATCACTTCTGATTAAGTTTGCAGACACAAAAATTGCAGTGGTAAATTATGAAGAGGACCCGTCACTGATACAGAGTGATCTGGATCGCTTGGTAAGCTGGGTGCAAGCAAACAATATGTATTTTAACATGGCTAAATGGAAATGTATATATTTAAGAACAAAGTATGTAGCCCCTACTTACAGGATGGGGACTCTATCCCGGGAAGCTGAAACTCTGAAAAAGTCACTCTCAGTGCAACGCTGTGGCCAGAAGGGCTAATGCAATCCTTGAATGCATAAGCAGACGAATACTGAGTAGGAGTAGAGAGGTTATTTTACCTCTGTATTTGGCACTGTTGTGGACACCAGAACTGGACACAATATTCCAGCAGCAATCACAATTCAGGAAGGATGTTGATAAATTGGAGAG